CACATAACTTAAATTAAAAATTACTTAGATAATAATCCATCATTCTTCGTCAATCTTACTATGCAATCATCGGATTCTCCCTACAAACATACAAGTATCATAATTAATAATTATCATAATTCATCATACGAATGTTAAATCAAATAATGGAATTTTTTCCCAGAAAATTTAAAAAATTATATGAATATGCATATATATATATATACAAAATTTATACCATTCGACGAATTGCCCCACAGATTGCATACATCTTGTGTGTGTCGGTCATGCGTCCCGTTTCTGGATCAACATCGGCCAAAGTTAACTGAATGGATGCATGATCCTTAGCATGGATGATACGATTACTCGCCGAGCTGAAAGAAAAAATGGTAAAAAAATTTAAATTTTATTTTTTATACCTTATCCGTGTTTCTGCGATTCTTTGATTCACTGTGGTTTTACTTAAAAAATAGAAAATATATAGATAAGATAGAATATTACGACAGCTTAAGCGAACAGATTCTTCAAGGAAATTGCAGATTTCAATAGAACCTAACCTCACTTATATACCGCTAAATACTTTTTACGTACACCAGAATCCATCTTAAGCCATATCGAATAAATAAATCACGCGTCCACTTTGATCGAGAGCTTCAATGTAAGATCGCATTTATATTTATTGTAAAACTTACAGAAGAATCATTCATGATCCACGTGTTTTGTGTCTTACCATTTTCGAGGGATGTATAGATCAACCAAGTTCCCCAAATCGTTTTCCATTTTTCTGACTTTTTAGAGCTGTAACAATATAAGCGATTGGTATATTATTCGACTGATTTAAAACGTGGCCGTGTTGATTATTTAACAAATACTTTTCACTTAGAATCGTAAGGTCTCTCGCTCAAGATGGCTACAAAACCGAAAGATCGACACTTTCCGATGTAATATTGGGCGCATTCAAGTTGACAAAGTAGTAAGCCTATTGGCCGAATAATGGAATATGATTGGTTCTTACTTCTGGATCCTTTTTAAGCTCGCACAGTGCATAACTACTCAATGCGCGCTTTATTTTGATTGAAATATTTTTCTATTCTAACTTAAATCTAAAAATATACTTCAAAGTATTCAATGAATGCATTTTGTAAATTGCGATTTACTTTTAATTGACAATTAATTTTTCGAGTAATACTTTTATATTATATATTTTATTAAACCGAATAGATTAATTAATCTTTTGTCGTTGAAAAGAAAAATTAAATTAGATACATACAAATTACATATAGTTAAAAATTATTCAGTAAGCGATTTTGCCTGTTGAATTAATTACTAACTGATTAATCAGCTTGATCAAAATCTCATAGAGGCATTTAAATCACATTGTGATTTATTCGATCAATTAATTTATTCAACAGAGTTCTATTTCTAACTTTAGTTTAATTTATATTTTATCTTTCTCTACTTTCTACGTTTATTTCTAAAGATGTAGACGTTAATCTCGATTTAATTTAATTTATTCCGTATCTTTTTCTAATCCTTAAAACCAATATTAAGGTTAATTTACATTAATAAAAATGAATATAATAAATCAAGAAATACCCTTCTTATCTATCAATACAAATTAGCTTTAATTTTGATTTATACAATTCCCCCTTAATATTCTCCTAATTTAGAACCCTCTTTAGAAACCAAAAAAAAAAATTAAAATTAAATCGAGATTGAGGCTAATCTACATTGACTCAAACGGACGGAATTATACAACCTTCCTTTATTTTGCAATTTTGCGTGCAAAATATTGCGCACGCGCGGAGACACGGAGGTATTGTCCACTTGCCCGTTCTGTCGCAGTTTCATTCGCTGGCATCGGTTCGGCGACACTGCGGTGCGTCTGTTCGTATCGGCTTCATGAGCGATTCGTCGTGGCCGGTCGATGATACGACGACGACGATGACGACGACGACGACGACGACGACGACGTCCGCGCGTACGGGCGAAACATCTCGGCGAGCGGTGCTTCAAAACCGGCCGCGTCGGGGAATCGCGTTCAGTAGCGAGGCGCGCTTCGCGCTGGACGGATAGGCGATGGTTGTACACTTGTGGACGTTCGTTCGACGTGGTGGCACGAGCGATGCACTTACGCCTCGGGAGGAGTGAACGAGTGATTGATCGGGATACATACGGTAGCGGTTCAACATGTCCATGAAGGTGAGCGAGGCGTATGCATATTCCGCGGGACGTTGTGCCCCTCGACGCCCCCGTTCCCCATTTCGTCCCGACGTGGAGAAATTTCGAAGGCACTCGGAAAGGACAGCTCGGCTGCCGAATCTAAAAATTTAGATACAGATCTGAAAATAAAAGTTTGTGGGAGACTTCAAGATTATAATACGACGTTCAAATTGATTGCTGGAAGATGATAAATTTTTGCAGTATTATTATTGTTATATTTGGGTGCCTCACACATGATAGTTTTGATGGTCCAACAAGATTATTCTCAGACCTGGCCAAATTTTTAGATTTGTTAGCAAAACTGTTCTTTCTGTGCACATCATATCTATATAGATACAATGTATCATATTGATACATTGCATATATCAGTATATACATGTGTACAATGAAATATATATTAATACACTACAACTTTTTAACAAAATCAAAATCAGCTACTTTTGAAATGAGAACATTTCCAGGATTCAGGCACAATAGGAATGAAGAATAAAAAGCAAGTTATTTTCAATCAAATAAAGGAACGTCTTGACATTTTTTAATTGTATATCAAAGCATAGATTTTTATAAATCGAAATTTAATTCTTCATTCCTTGTTTTTAATTTTTATTTTTTATTCCTTTGTTGTGTCTGGATTCTTAAGGCAATGACACAAAGAAAAATGTAAAGATTTATAATAGTAAGCGAATCGGCCAATCAGATTGAGAATCATCGAAAATGTAAAATTATTATTTAAAAATTCTTGGCTACGATTAATTTTTTCATTCTTTAAATTTTGCTATGCCATTAGTTTTACGTACGTCGCTGGATAATAAATTTCCAAACTTGGAACATTTATTTTCTCGGATAATCCATGTGTAAAGCAAATGATAATTTGTTATTTCTTCCTCTTAGGATTTGCAGATTTAACAGAATTTTTCGAAAATCCTTGATGTTGGAAAGAATTAATGTTTACTACATTGAGCTTTGTGCACGGGTCATTTATTCGATTTACTTTCATTGTTGTTGCGCTTTTATCTTTTCCTTCGATGAGTCGATCGTTTTTTTTCTGAGAGAAAAACAAACATCGCTTTTATCGCGATTGACTTTCGATACTTTGTTTCTTTTTTCAATTTTTTTTATTTTTTTTTGTTATCTGTCTCAGTATGCATGGTTGAACACAATTCACGAATTAAATCTTTCTTCGATCAAACTGCAATTTATCCAACAAAATTAAAGCATACTAAATAATTTCTATTTAATCTATTTTTTAATTATATATAGTAAGAAATTTTTTCTATTGTCATATAACAAAAAAATTAATAACTATTTACAGCAATAAAGTAGCATTTAGATATTATTTGGCAAATCAATCGTCGTTAAATTAATCGAATTTTTATTGAAATCGATCTTAGACGATTGAAAAAGTCTAACTCTCTCATTTCCATCGATGCGGATTAACTTTAATCTCGGTGAAACTCACTTTCTACCTTTATATAATTCTATGAATTAGAAGAAGATAAAAAAAGCAAATTGAACCGAGATCAAAGTTAGTCTCTATTAATGGAAATGGAGATGAGCGTTAGTAAGCAAGAAATATACGTCTTACTTTTCGTTATAGCGCGCGTTATTTCTGGCCCGCGAGGATGATTGGGCGCACCTGCGAGAGCGATTCGAAAAACAAAAGAGCACTTTTTATTATATACAGCAAAATAAGACGCCGCGTATAAGCGCGCCTTCCGATCCGGATGTCTCCTGTGAAAAAAAAAAAAAGAATTGATACGTCGGTCACGCTTATCTGATACGCACACTTTGAACAAGATCGAGATAGAAGGTTGGGCACTTGTACGCGCGGCGATTCGATCTACGAACAATTGCAATTGCACGGTCGTTATAATAATTCCAACTTGTGCTTGAACTCCACCACCGACGAGCATTATCAATGCGACGTTGTTATTATTATACGCGACACGTGTGTTGCATAATATCGAACAGCGCGTAGAAGTTTGTATCGGAGCCGGTCACGTTGCCGACGGCGTTTAATAGCTCGATCATCAGATTTTCCCTATCTGCATTTTGCGTTACGTAAGATTTACGTCAGACTTCACGAGTCAGCTTGTTGACGACCGTTTGATAAATCCGACAATCGCAAAAATTCGAAAACGCACTCCACTATCTTATTACGTTTCCTTAACTTTTACGTTCTCTTGACTTGTTTTCCAATATTTTTGAAATATGGAAGGAAACGGTTTTGTTAAATCTATCTAAAAATAATCTAAATAAATGAAATATCTGAAAATAATTTTGTTGGACGCCTAAGCATGATGATAATAATGCAAAAATGTCTAATATTTCAGCAATCGATTTGACATAAGTTTTACATAATTATTCTGATGATTCGGTAAAATTACTTTCAGATCTGCAGCTAGCCAAATTTTTAGATACTTTTGCAACAAACTTCTTTTCATGTATTTACACTTTAAATTCAAGGAGATAAAGATTGTAGTGTTTCGAATGAAATTCTAAAATAGGTGATTTGAAAGGGCATAATGACGACGCTATTTCAAGTTTCAGTGTTAGAGCATCGAGACGAATAGATTGAGCACAAATACACGTGTAGAAAGTCACGCATCGCTGCATCGGCGTGATTCCTGGTGCATGCGTCGTTTTGATATTTTAATTAAGGCTTTAATCGTCGGTCATGCGCGCTAATTGCGGCTGAGACTGCGGAGAGGAGTACAGTTCCGCGAAAGTCGCGTTTGGAGATTATCGTTGCCGAAGAAACGATCAAATTATCGAAAGAGGAACACGTGTTCACGACACAAAGATGCGATATCACCACGCATCCACATACGTATGCACGATATTAAGACAAATTGTCAATTTATTCGACGATGAGAAAGATCTACTTGAATAAAGAGCAGCTGCCAGTTTTAAGCGTGATATGAAATTTGAGTCTAAAGTCTAAAAGAATGAAAATATTTTATATAGATGTAACAATTGATACTAAATATTTCGTTCTATTTATATATTTTTATTTTGTAACTTGCAGATTTAATTATTCAAAAAAAAAACCTTTTAACATCATATGTAAAAAAATATATTAAAAGATTATAATTTATCGTCTTACTAATTTCTTTTCCTTGTTGTATTTCGTATGTAACTGTTACTCTTTATTTTAAAAAAATTATTTGAAAATTACATCGCGATGTTTAATGTTTTGATGTTAAATAACGAAAAAAATATTCCGATTTTCGTGACAAGAGACAATTTGTCAGTCGCGTTCTACTTCTATATCCGAAGGGAAGAAGAGGCATCTTACCGAACGGTATGGCCGCAAAATCCTGTAATAAGATTTTTCCGCGCCATTGAACGTACAGCCCGATGCGTTCTGCAATTTTACGTTTGCGAGCCGTGACGCGTGTCCGGAATCGATAAATTACGGATTAACGGATAGAGTTTTTACAGATATCGAGCCTAGAAGCCTACTTTCCCTGTTCGTCCGTCTGAATTCCTCAAAATATTTCGGAACGCGTATTCCGTTAAGACGTAAATCCGCGATGTGCCGAGGATACGTATTCATTCCTCGAGGAATCACGCGGAATGTTTTCCCTCTTCGGAGCCACTCGCGAGTCGAATCACTCCATAAACACTCGAAAGCGAAGGCCGACGTATTATTTCGATCGTCGGGCGAAGGACCGCGAGGATGTTCGAACGACTGGAAAAGTATCTGCGCCGACTGTTCACCGTTAGAAGTCATAAACGCGAGAGAGATAAAAACCGCCAAATATCTCTTCTTCTTTCATCCCGTGAAATATTGATCCCATCGATGACAGCTGTGCACATATCTCTGAGGTTACGAAGGTGTTAAAAATATTCGACAAGCTTTTGAAGATCTCAATAGATTCATCCATATTCACAGTTACGCATTTATATTACCATTACAATAGCCGACATACAACTCAGACATTTCTTCGATCCAGTGTACATGATTTAGATGCAGGAGACACTCAAACAAAACATTTTTTATAAAACATAATTGGAGAATTGGTAGAACAGTGTCCTGTTTTCATATTGTTCATCTTATAATTTAATCTCGAAACTATATAATTGGTTTTGGAAAAAAAAAAACATGACAAATTGAAATAAAAGCTATGGAGATCGGATAAATTTTTTGCCTGAAAAGAATCTAAAAAAATCAATCCAAATTAAATCAAGTTTTTTTTTTATCTCAAGATTAAATTTCTTATTAAATTAATTTCTATTAACTATTATTAATTTTAACTTTTTAAATTAAAGAACACGCATATTTCCTCGCATATTTTTTTATATCTGTCATATGGAAAGAAAGATACTTCGCGGAGAAGTATCTAAGAATTTGCAGATATAGATCTAAAAATAATTGTGTTGAGTCATCGAAATAATTAGGACGTTTAAACTGATTGCCAGAATATAAAAAGATTTCAAAACAATTTGTTGCGCCAAACCGTGAGTCCAGCCATTTTAAGTAAATTAAAAAACGAGAATCTGCATTCAATCAGCATTTTATTAACCTACTATCTCTGTTTTTGTTCTCACTTTTTCAGAAGGAGTCGCCTTGGGATGTGGAGCTGCATCTGGCGGCGGCACGCGGGGACGCCAAGCGTCTTCGTATTTTATTGGATTCCGGACGCGTTCACGTTGATTGCAAGGACAAGGTCAGTATCAATACAATACCTTCCTTTTCCAGAGAGTAAGATCCCGTTATCGTGTACACTCATCGGGTACACAATCGTCCGAACGAAAGTTTCGCGGTAACAAGCATCGAGCACCGATTTCCTCCTAGGAAGAAAGTTGCGATCATTTGATACGAGGCTGATAATATTAACATGAATCATCCTGGAAATGCAATATCTAATTTCGGATTCATTAGCTCCGGACAATGCGGATCTGAAATTATTGTTAATATAGGAATCGATTAGTCAGGAAACTCACGTTCCTGATTGCACTGGTCTTGTCGTAATAGACCGGCGGGATATCGCGGCAAAAGCGCGATTTACCGGCGATTTTCTCTCCTCGCTGTCGGTAGGCTCATTATGCAAACGACGATGAGGAACGAGCAGCACGAGCAACGTTACACACTCCCCTCGCGTCCCTCGAAAGTGCTTTATTAGATCAGCGCGGACACTAATCGTGCCACTTTTCGACTTGGAAGACGAACGCGTTTTATCCGCACTCGACATCGGATATTTTCTGCGAGCTCATCCACATGTGTCAATGTCATAGCCGAATTGAAGCTATATCCTTCCGTTTAATCGCCAAGCATTAATGGCCTTTCCTGCAATTTTTTGTTCATTCACCTCGATATTCTCGCGAAGCTTCGTATCATGCTTTGTATTAATTTTTTTTTTTTTTTTTATTATATATATAAATGTCAGGTGACACCTTTTTACGTGCGAATTGTTGCTTTTTGTGACGAGATGTCATAACTATAAATACTCGTGTGTGCTAATTGCGTTAGTAAACTTAGGGCGCTTAGCGAATCTTAATAGCTCGCCGGAAGATCGATTAGAAAATACATACCGGCGGCATACATTCGCCGGCATTCAGCGTTCACCAGCGAGAAAGTTTCGCGTCTAATTGAATCATCGAAGCGGAGTTTTGCAAACGAGGTCGGTTTTCTTTCAGGATGGCACGACACCTCTGATATTGGCCGCCGCGGGTGGCCACATCGACGCCGTGACCGAGCTGTTGCATCAAGGGGCGGATCCCAATGCCAAAAGGCTGGTAAGTTCTGACCTCGTGTCAAAGATCGAGCGATCTGCGAATGAATGATGTCTCTCAGGTTGAATGAAACCCTCCTTAGTAGTAGGAAGTTGTAGCACGTGCGCGTTCCTCGCCTCGTTCATCAATAGCTAAAATCCATAGCTTATCACAATATCAGCATATTACAGTGACGAATAGAAAAGTATTTATTTAGTTTGTATTTATTAAGAAAAAAATCATTAAAAAAACGTCTAATGTTTAATAATTTTTAATTTGTAAATATTTAATTATAAATAAGATGATTATGTGAGATAATTATTGATGAGGTAAGCAATATTTTGAGAATTTCTTTTTACTTTATGTATGCAAATTTATCACTATCTGGGAAAATGGCATGATATAAACACAGTATATAATCCCTCTTCCCCTAGTAATTGCAAAATATCGTTATAATCATAAAACTAATGTAAGAAAATGTACGAATAATACAACGCTACATTTATTTCTTTTCTAGATTTCTTTTCTAGCTATGTTTAATTTGCATAAAGAAGATAGATGTATTGCACATCTTCCAAATCGTACGTTATTTTATTTATTCTCATGCAGACATTAACATTAATAGTCGCAATAAAATCGGTATTGCGATCTCAAGACCATCTACCGATTGCAATTTAATCGTCGCTGTGAAACAGATCTCAATTATTTAATTATATTCGATTAAAAAATGGAATAAAACATGCAAAATGCATCGTATCATTTCGTAGTAATCACTTCGTAGTAATCGCCTCAGAGAATTCTCTGATCAATGTTTTTTTCTTGCAATGAAAATTGTAATAATTTTTCATAACTTTTTATGACTTTTTTATGACTTTTAATCTTTTACATGTTACCCACCGCACTGATTAAATTTTACAACATTGATATCTATTAACATGAATTGGATGATTATTTAAGTTTTCCATTTTTAATTTAAAGATTTAATTTATGGGAGATTCATTTTTTGTCACTTAAAAAAAGATTATAAGTTCCTCGACACTTTTATTTAAAAAGTCCAGGTTTTATACTCATCAAAACTTTTATTTTTCTTAATGCGATTTGGTTGGCGATGATCCTGTTAAGAATTCTATCTTCAGATGTAACTTCGAGTATCGAGAGGGGCTTTAAAATAGAATCTTTAAAACTTCCTGGAGCATCGTCTTGCAGCACGTTGTATCACTTTTAAGCGCATGCGATATCTTAGCGAGACATAAAAAGCTCGTCGCGCGTAGCATATCACGCGATGAACCAGGAAGCTGTCGAGTATCCCTTTTTTAAGTGCCACAAGAAGATTTATCGTCCGGCCCACGCTTCTCTCCTTCTCCTTTGCTGTCTCGTGCCATCTAGAATTACGCCATTGTATGCAAATCGATGACAAGATTGCGAGCATTGAACGAACCGCGATATACATTACATTACTTTTCTCAAAAAATAAAGAAAACATTTGCGCAATAGTAAAAATTGATGACAAATTTTAATCTCTTTAACGATTTTTTTCTCGAGACTCGAGACAGATCTACATATTATGTCAGACCATTAAAAGTCGAATCTACGAAATATTTATAGAATCCATAACATAAATTTCAATTCTTATTAATCTTATTTTTTATTCGATAAAAATATTATAAAATATTACATTAAAAAAACAAAAATGTCTGTTAAATATTTCTTGACACTTATCGTTAGATAGAAAACATTTAGATAGAAAAATATTTCAACTGTGTAATTATGAATTTTCCAGCGGATATGATAACTGTTAAAAACGTGAGAGAAAGAATGTTTGCACGATGAGTAAACGTGCCCGTAAATAGAAATGTGTAACGTTCGATGATTGAGCTGATCATATGGTCTATGCTCCTCCTCTGAGATTGAGCGTAAACGATGACGACGTCACGCTCGGCGCAGAATTACGCAAACGTTCATTAAAAACCCGTTAAACACGTTCGTCGTCTTACGCAATCGACGGATCGAGATTCAAAATCCATTTTCATGGACTGGAAAACGCGAAATCTCCTCTTTAAATTAATACCTCAACGAGCCTGAGACCGTTACTTACAGGCATAATTGTATCTCATTTTGATTTTCATACCAATTTATCGATTTACACGCGCAGCAATCGGCGAATAAATTCCTTAGACGCAACCGTTAATTGCGTAAGCGTAAAGCGATAATTTTAGGGAGGGAAAAAGTGTGCGGCCGAAGCTCGGGCGCTTCTCCTTAAATCTCGCGAGATGATGCGCCGTTGGAATTTTCAGCGGAATTGTGCGGACCGCATTGATTTTCGAATGGCGACCCGACGCGAAACCGTGTTTGACGCGATTTAGTGTAAATATCACGAGGTGAGAAATGAATTGCACGAAAGGAAAACGAGAAAGACAGCCAGGCGATATTTCAAGGTTGCCTAAGCGTGCCGTGAGCTTGTGCCGTAACGTTCGTGCGTGCAAGTTTGCGTGATTCTAATGCACCTCTTAATAGCGGAGTGCCTGTGCAAAACACGCAACGTGGAAGTTCAGGAATTATCGCTCACACTGTGTGTCTACAATCTATCTAGACGTGTTAGCCTATCATAAGCGCCATCGTACATGCGTAGGAAAATCGTAAGGTGTTCGTTTATGGGACATCAAAGAGCAGAAGGAATATAATATATAATATTTTTTATTTCTCTTAAAATTTAATTCTCTCGCTCAAGTGAATTGCTTTCGTGATCCTTCTAGCTGTTTATCAGAATGTATTAGAAAGTAGATGCTATCAATATCAAATATTTTTTCCAAGGAACCGTGGATTTCAAGTTCTCGAAGATTTACATGGAAAAAATAACATTTTATTATAATGAAAAATACATATTAATTTACATTTATAAAAAATTTGTACAAATTCTTATCGTGTGGTATTATTCTTATTATAAAAAATTTAAATTTATTATTTTTTTATGAACAAACGTAATAATATTCAAGTATTTCATTAAGTTTTCGTAATTTATTAATAGGGTTGTTTTACTATAAACATTTGATGCAGTCTTGAGTTTTATGAATAAGACATACATATCGATTGACAGAAATAAGAACTTAAAAAAAGGATTTCCTGGTAGATATTTATCATCTGAAAATTCTATCCGCGATTATTGATCGTCTAAAAATGAACAACGCTGGCGAGGGTGAATGACACCTGTCGGGTCATCCGAGCCTCCGATAAATTGTAGATCTTATATAGCGACACACACACACACACACACACACACACACACACACACACATACACGCACGCACGCACATACACATACATTCTCGTCACTGAATGAGCGTTAATTGGATCAATCGTGACTTCATGCGATTACTTCAATCAAGTATTTTGTATTTTATTACCAATTTAATACCATTTTAATACCATCGAGTATTTGTATTTAATACACGCAAATATTGCACGTCAATTGTTGCTAATTATCATTCGGCCGTTTCTTTGCTAATTAAAAGTCGGAATCGCGAGTTCGCCAAACGAAAATAACTGACCTTTTGTTTGCCCTACTTGGGACCGATGTTCAATCGGCGGAGTTTGCATCCGTAAGCTGTAAAGTACGGTACCGCTATACAGGCGCTGTGGTCCATTCAGCGAGCATCTCTCGGTTATGATCGAATCTCTCCAATTCAGACCTCTTTGTTTCTCTTTCGATTACCAGGATATTAAATCTTTATTCATTAATATTTCACAAACATTCATCATGTCGATCATCATGCGAAAACATATGAAAATTCCACAAAACTTGTGGAGATAGAGAGAAAGAGAGATGAAAGAATTTTTTTTCATTAAGATTATAATTTTATACATATTTGTGAAATATATTTAACGCATTTGTCGTTTGCCGACTTGTAGGTGTTTTTTTTAATTTTTAATTTTAAAATGAAGAATTTTTAGAATGTTTTTATATGATTATTATGAATTATATGATTATTTATGTAATTTTTATTTACTATTTATTGACATCTATCAACGGGGCAAAATTTCTCTTAAGGATACCTTTATATATTGAATTTATATATTTGAAATCTGGTCAGAGACGAGCGCAGTTTAATCGTGTCCGAGTAACTTGCTAGCCTCTAGCGAGTACGTGTCGGGCATTCGATCTCGGTCAGACCTGGACATTTTTGCGCGCGTTTCCTCATGCACGATCGCACGGATCGGCCGTACGGCGAAGGGAAACGCATCGTCGTTCGCGGACCAAACGTAACATACTGATATCGTCGCGTTATAAAATTTCTGCGGTTTAGCAATGGATAGGTATTATGTCCCCGCTCCGTTCGCCACGCATCGCGGCGCACCGCGTAACGTCCACGGCGTGTGCACCGCGCGGCCCATTTCCAAGCAGGGAGATTCGCTGCAAGTTGCAAAAAAACAAAAAAAAAAACGAGAACAAAGCTCGCCAATTCTCTTGGAAACGACGAGGTGCCCAGACGCGCGCGAAAGTTTCAA